TAGGGTTAGGGTTAGGGTAGGGTTAGGGTTAGGGAGTAGGCGAAGGCGACATACTCGCCGACACCTCGGGTACTACATATACAGGGTTCATAGTAGTAAGACACATGTTGAAATAAGGACTTATAAGACCCTTTTTGGAGGCCAAAATAAGACTTTTACGCGATTTCTGATAGATCACCGACTATTAAAGTACACTAATAATATTTATATACACAATTGCACAGCAGATTTAATTATTCCGTATTATATATACAACAATTCTTACTCTAAGTTGAGAACAGTTTATAAAACAATGTTGAAAAATGGTCCTTTGGCAAAAAATAAGGACTATTAAGTACTTTTCTAAGATTTCACCAAAAATAAGTACTAATAAGGGCCCTTATTTTATTTTTCGCAAAATAAGTACTTGTAAGACTTTGGAAGACCCGCTACGAACCCTGGATAATTATGTTATAACAGATGACTACATATTACATTTTATATACACGTTATGACTTACTCTCTCCCTGTCCATGTTCTCTTTTGCTTCTCTTTTTCGTTGATGTCTGGCATCTCTTCTTGCCTTCCACTTATTTAACCTTTCCGGCAGTAGTCTGGAGATTACAGCTGAATCCTCCAAGTCTACCAACGTTTCACATATCTTATTATACACATATATTCGTGCGTAAGAGTGAATATTCCTGAACCATACTGAGTAAAAATTTAGCAAACAATAGAAAGCTATATGTAATGAACATATGCAATTATTTGCACACACTATAGAAGTATTTTCATGCATCTGTATCTTTTCATGCACTCCAACTTACTCAAGAGGATGGCAGCATCTGGAAAGAAGCCACTGCTGGCCAGAAAGTGAGTGTCCTCAGGTGTTCGAGGAAAGTCTTCAAGTATGAAGCCATGTGACCTATACACAATCTTCTTAGTTATGATCACCATAGTTCAAAGTATAATTCAAGGTTAATTTGATCGATCTTATATAGTCAGTCTAAGTATTTTTGAATTCACTTTGTTTTTGCTTACAATAAACGAGTTTTTCAGTGTGGGTACCAATATTTCTCATTTATCTTCTACTTCCAAGTGTCTACAACACTTTCTTGTTACATTATTAAATGTCAGCTACTCGTATACATGTATTACACGGGCTTAGAAATGGTGTTTAGAAATGTATTTCCTCAGAAACTGTGTTTAGAAAAGTGTGTCTTACATGTAAGGTTCTTTCTGCCACAGGTCAGGTAGTATTCTGGCAAGAGTTTCTGGTGCTAGAGCTTCCCCATCTTTTAAAAAAGAAAAGATGTTCTCTTCTTCTTCTGTAAAGCCATACTTCTTTTTAGGGTCCTGTTCTTCATCCTCAGCAGCCTCCACATCTTCTTTCCCATCCTCACTAAAATAGTGCAACAATTACTATGGGTTATATTTAACTCAATTACAAATGGGTTATATTTAACTCAATTACAAGAAACATTGATAATGAAACTTTGATTATTCAGTCATATTTTTCAGGTTGGAATCAACACGTATTTATTATACCACAAATATAGCACGTTGTGCAGCACGACAGTGTTGGTTGAAAGGCAATAGCTGCTGCTGCACTACTGTTTCTGCCGTTGCTGCATGATGTTACCATCAATACAATTAAATTAATAAAACGTTGAAAAATGGACATAAGCTTGGTCAAAACGTGTGAAACGAAATAGCATGTAGCAAAAGATGAAAATGTAATGTTTCTATGCATCTTTGACTCTTAATATTCACTATAGGGCACTAATTAGTGCTGAGCTGCATGGTGCCTTTAAACACAACAAACATTTTTAACATCTCATAAAATCAAATTGTGGATTTTTCAAATAATTAAATGCGGCAAAAATGTGAATCTGTATAGTGGCGCACTTTCCCGTGATCTTGAATGTGAATCTTTTTCTATGTGTCTATCTGCAAGATATTTACCTTTCAAATTCTTTATCTTCCTCGAACTCTGCTGGTACAACTGGATGCTGTGTTTTATGGATAATCAGCTCCTGCAACTTCTCTCTGAATTTGATGTGAAAAACGCCTAGTTTTTGGGCCAGAAGCCGGCCGATTGTCGTTTTTCCAGCTCCCCGTGGGCCCAACATGAACAGTCGAAGAGGGGGAGGCTAGAAAAACATAAGGGAAATTAGTGGGCACATGTGATAAACCTGATAATAATGAATATTGTATACTATAAAGTCAGAACTAGAGTAGCCATTTTCAAATAAGTTGGATATAATGCAGATTACTTAAGACATAAAAATGTAGGGGTTATGCCCAAAACACAAATAGTCCATAAATTCTCCCGATGACTGGCCTATAAATCATATATTGATAACGAATTGAATATTTGGTTTAAATACCAAAGTAGGCCTACTTCAATTTATATAGTACAATAATTATAAAATCATTATACATTATACATTATAAATCAAATTACAGTTACCTTTGGAGGATCACTATCAGGCATAAATGCAGACGGTGACAGCAGGAACTTTCCCTTAGCATCCTCCGTAGAGAAAAAGTAAGTTTTCTCTCTAAACTTTGCTGACAGCTCTGGGTTTCCTGGATAGAGCACGTTCTTCTCAGTCAGAGCCACTGGGCAGTAACGGTTCGTATCACCCAGTGCAATTAACCTGCTCTTATATGTCTCTGGGTCTTCCAGCTGCAAAACATGAGGTGATTACCTATAGTGAATATTGAATTAATCGCAAAAGCCTTATAGTGCCAAATATGCAATACGTATCAGATATGCTCAAGGTAGTAACTTTCAAGAGTATGCTCTATAAAATCAGTATAAATTAACTTTTGAAGGAGTACAGAAAGATAAGAATCTGAAGTTCAAATCTAAAGTGAAGAATAATGCATTAGCAATAACAACTAGATTAACATAAATGATTGTGCTATTTGCTATACATTGCTGTACACCATATTAGCTGCAGAATATGACTGCACGACTTGCATGCTAAAAGCAATATTTTATTAAATGTTTTGGAATGTTGGTCATGCATAGCAGCATTTTCAGTGAATCGCATGAAGTCCATCAATAAAACGGAGTATTCAACTCCAGACTCTCGTTAATTTTAACCCTTGCTATAACAATCAATCTTGTTTATACTAGGCATACTTGTGTAACACCATTTTCTGCCTGCTCAAAATACTCCTCCATAAGTTGTCCTATGTCTTCATCATCTTCCTCCTGGTCTAATGGTGAATACTCCCACGCTTGATACTTGAAACGTCCTATTGCACGCAAGGATTTTAAAAACCAGCAACATTCTGACCATGTTAAAAACAGATGGATAGATGGAACAATAAAGAAATACTGGGAGATTTCCATATTATATGTTTTATATGCAAGAATTCGTCTTTAGTACGTAAATAATATCAGGAATATAAGCGTTGTGATTCAAAGCATTTAGATTTGTGCGGCTACTACTAGCAGCACTCATGCGACCTTTTCTTATGATGAATAGACGTGGGATAAACACTGGTAGTGATATCACCGAGCACTCATGGCTTCACGAGTACCTTCTATCTTCGAAATGACTTCACGGAGAATTTCTTCCACCGAGTTGTTAGTGATGTCAACAGTCTTTGTTTCTAGACTTGTGTTTCCAGTGACCAGAGACACAATGTTCTCCAGCTTTGCCTGCTCTTCCTGAGCTCTCATTTTGAAGTTTTCAGTCTCAGTGCCCTCTGGTGATGCAATCCACTCCATTATGATATTATCAGGAGTAAGATAATATTATCAATATATATATATATATATATATATATATATATATAGCATATCTATATGTATATGATGAACAGTGATAACTGTCAAAGCCTGCCTATTCATAAAGAAATATTCTCTATGGTTAGGCAATAAATAGAAACATTTTATGCACATCTTCAATTCAGCTTATTTCATAGACATTTTCCATCAGCAAATTTGATGCTAAACACCTTTCCCTGTGTACAGGTAAATGTATAATATTAATTAACGTCTAACTGGTCTGATTTCATTACCAGTCTCTAAAAGTTCATTTAAAACACTTATTTGTGTGTTTCCTCGTGGAGAACGTGCAATGATTAGCTTCCATGTGTATGCACAACAATAATTATATGCAATAATACCATGCACATAATATATTATACACTATATACATATATTCGTGATAATATCCGATGCAAATCTATGCTGTAAATATTCTGGCATACCTTTAACTTAGTAAAATATTATGATTTGAGAGTGATATTACACATTTATTTACAACACAAAGAATTGAGCAATAATTTACTGGGAAATTATGCTCTCTCTGGACATTACGTATAACAAAACTCCATTAATTGCCAAAGACATACCGGTAGTTACTTTACCACAAAACAGTGTTAAAAATAGCTAGATCAGTAACTAAACAAGTGGGACATTTAGACATATCTATTGTACCAGCAGTTTTCCCTGCTGTAGTCTCATGCCACCGACGTAACAGCGTTGGCAATCCTTGTCCGGCATCCGTCAGGACAATCATGTCATCTACTAGCATCCCCCTGTCAACCATCACTACCCACTGGTCATGAGAACTTGGCCATCCATCCAGTATAAAACCACCTTGCCTGGAAATTATACGAGATCAGTACACAGTGCACTAGAGCATGTGGGATATAGTTAACAACAAGAATGATTTCTGCTACAGATTTGCAATGAGTCTAGGTTTGGCATAGTCATCCACCATAATATATGTGATGATCGCTATTCGTTATATATGCAACATAATTTCCATAGTTGTTATAACTTTCTGTGCATTCAGTCAATGTTATCTTCATCTGCAATGATGGGCTACATAAGATAATCATTACTAGGCAGACCATGTAGTATCATATATCGGCATTTAATAGTTGCTGCAAGAAAGTACAATGACTGTCCTAGTATGGTGAGGTACGTGATATGACAATCAGTGCACGTATATATATCTGCTCAAATGCACCCTATCTCTAAATAGATCTGTACCTTTTCCCATCTTCTCTTTCGGATGCTGACTTCTTCTCAGCAGCTACAATCAGCCTCTGCAGCATCTCAACGTGGAGTTCAGGAGTGAGGGTCACTTCCTGTTTGCTGGCCTCAGCAGCCGCCGCCTCCATCGCCGCTGCGACATCTGGGTGGGTCTCGTCCACGGTGCTAGAACCACCCGTCTTATCATCAGCGCCTACAAATCATCAAGTAACCTTCAACCGTCAAATCATCAGCGCCTCAAACAATCAGTTACTATACCGTCTTTATCATCAGTTTGATTTACAGTGCCTATACAAGTGTGTCAATAGTCTCATCCAACATAGTGTATGAGTGGACCTGATGATAGTACGTACCCGTGCCTCAGAAACCTTCATGCTTTAAAATGCTTTTTGATACCATTAAGTGCAATACGTCTGTTCTGAATTAACACCAGCTTCAATTCTAAAGCAAGGTTAACAGCACCAAGCAGTTCTACACGAACTACATAAGAAATAATATGAAATTGTGTTGTTACCTCCTGCATAGGCTTCTTCTGCCATTTTGTCTACAATTGAGGTTATTGTAATCTCGGCTGCATGGCGTTTTGCCTGATTAATGATCTCAATCTTCTTCTCTTCCAGATATTGGCTTTCATGCTCCTTTGCACAAATTACCTGTAAAAAATCAACAAGCAGCAGGTTTTAATATTTATATGACCATTGAGAAGTTAGTACAGATACAAATTAAGACATTATAGAATACCATAGTAAATATATGAAAATATCATATTACATACATGATTTGCAGAAAGGAAAGGCAGAAAATAGCAACCTCTCACTCAGGAAGCAAGCACTCATAATTTCACTTACTAACATATCTTGCTTGCAATTAAGTACATATATAGCCAAGCTGCAATGGTTGCAATTAAGGTAGTTGACATACCACAGCATCATAGTGTTGAGCCAGCTTCTCACATAAAGTAGATTTGCCAGAAAGCGGTGGACCCAGCACACAGATCTTGCATGGTATGCGTGGGTTTGGTGGCAGGAGATAGTACCGAGGGTTCTCTGTGAATCTTTCCACAGCTTCTTTCGAAGACAACATATACATCTTGTCTAGAAAACTAAAAAAAATTAAGACCTAATGTTTTCAGTGTAATAGGTGCACATAGTTTCTAAAAAAGTCCAAAGAAGTTTTAAAACACCATTATAAGTTTTGATTACAGGAAAAGACAATATCATTTGCACAACAGCTATGTCTATAATTAAGTCAAACTCACATAAAATGGTCTAAAACGTCATTGATTCAGCCAAATATGCCAAATTGCTTAAAATTCTTCTAATTTGCTAAATATATTTAACACTTTAAATTGTTTAATTTACACTTTAATTATGTATGCTTACGAACCCGGAGTAATACATATTTGCACATTCTTGACACGTGATTATCAAATAAAATTTCTAGCTCGTTCATCAGTTTTATTCATGGATATCTGTGGTAATTACTAATACCAATTATATACCATGATTATGTATATTGATTGCATTCAATATACATAAGTTGATGTTAATCCAGCACACCTGACTGCAAACTGAGGTCTTCCTTCCACCATATTGCCTTCATAGAGTGCCACTGGACAAAGGTTTTGCCACTTAGAGCGCCTCCACCGCCACTTAGGCGCCACCATGTTTTTTCCTGCTAAGGCTCTCATTATCTCATCCAATTCTGCTCCTTCAAGGCTATCATCATCCACCGCCATAAGCCGCTTTGGTGCAATCGCACGCTGGATTGGCAGCACTGCTAATCTCTCCAACATGTTCTAAAACAAGTATAATCACATTGTAGTTAGTAGTTTGGCTATTCCTATTTTAAAGTTGATGTGTCCCAGGATTATACCACAGCTGGGCATATTAAAACGCTTGACCTAATTTTTATTTTTGAGAGCATAATCAGCGTATTGTTACACTTGTTCCACGTTGTTTTCTTCTGCAAAAACAACCAGGAACATGTCTATAACCAGTCGGTGACACAGCATGCCAGACTAAGTACTAATGGGGCCCCACCTTTTGAGAGCATTTCATGCCTTAAATGTCATTACAATTCATGTCACATATTTTGTTTACACATATATTTTTGCTATTGTTTATTATTATAATGCATTTTACTAGGTAAAAGTACAATGATTATATGCTGCATGCTGGCATGCACAGGTCATGCATCTAAAGAGTAAAAACAGTTTGCCATACCATGTATACATCATCCACTGCGTGGTTTGCATCCAGCTCAATGACATACTGCTGGTCGTGTTTCTCAATATAATTCTATAACAGTAAACCACAGTAAACCAGTATAACAGTAATAAGTAGTAAAGTAATAACAGTAAACAGTAAACAGTAATAAGTAAACAGTAATAACAGTAATAACAGTAAACGGTAATAAGTAAACAGTAATAAGTAGTAAAGTAATAACAGTAAACAGTCATAAGTAATAAGTAAACAGTAAACAGTAAACAGTAATAAGTAAACAGTAAACAGTAATAAGTAAACAGTAATAACAGTAAACCAGTCAACTAATCAGCACCAGGATTGCCCATACACACCTGCTCAAACCAAAGTGCTTATAAAGATAATAATATATTATATTGTAATGTTTTCCCCTTTCTTTACTTTATCATTTCCCTTTTAGTTATGTTTCCCTTGCGTGCGTGATCCCCGCTAATTGTGTAATGTTGCAATAACCGCTCCGGCCGTTACCACACACCACGTGGCAATCGAGTCAGCCGAATTCACAATCCAGCAATCAAATCTTAGCCCGGTGGTAACAGCCGGGGGGTTATTGCGACATTACACAATTAACGAGGATAATGCAAGGAAAACATAAGAAAAAGGGGAATGATAAAGTAAAGAAAGGGGAAAACGTTACAATAATATATATGTCGAGTAAAGTGAACACTTCTGACAAAATACAAGATTTTTCTAGTGAGCACAATTTGTGGGCTCGATAATCAAAACAAATTGTACTAGTCGCCTGTGTTAACACAGAGACGCCTTGAAAAATTAATCATTAATTTGTCTAAGTAAATGTTTAAAATGGAATATAAAACCTACCTCCAACTGTATGAGCTGGTGAGCTCTGAACAGTTGAATATCTGCAGTAAGGACGTCATTGACATCCTCTGGTCGTTTCACCAGACGGCGAACAACATCAGGGCTCACTATAGTTTCATCTAACACCTGTATGTATTATATTACTATATCATATGTTATATCGATCTGTTAAAAAAAGACTATTTCCACCCACAAGTGTGTTTATACTTCTTCTTTGGCCGAATAAATTTCTATCGAAACATGTCTTTACCTATATAATATCAGGAGTTAATATTGACAAATTTGTCATTATTAACTCCTGATAATAGTAAACAAAGGTAAAATAGAGTTCATGTCATGATATTTTGCATTATGGTAAATTTTTAAAGATGCATCCAATTGTTTCATAACCAGAGAATTACTGATTTAGATGGACGTGAGAAAAAGTGAATTCGTGATTAATAATTCTTCAAAGTACTGTTTAAACTTTAATCAATCTACAGAGTATATTCTCTTTCAAAAGAAAACAAAGGTTTCACCTCAACAACCTCCAGTTCAACGTTCTCTTCCATGGCCTCTTCTTCATCTTCCTTTTCTGTCTCTATTTTCTGAAACAATACCATGAATATATGATTTAAAAAATTCTTTAATCATAGTGTTGCACTCTATGGAATACAAACTGTAGTAATCAGTTAAACACAGAATCATTTAAATAATGCAGCCTCAAGTTTTCAGCCTACTTTTATGTTCTTTTGAGTATGATGAATACCTAGGAAAATAAATAAATTACAATGTCAAATAGAATTGCAGAACTAGTTTTCAAAAATCCAAAACATAAAAAATGTATGTAAAATGTTCTACCAGCAATCAGTTTACAATTATCTATGGCTTTAGCATTCAAAAAACCAGTCCAAACATGAAAGTAAACGTGCTAAACGTTAAATGATACCATCTTTTCCTTTATTTGAAATATAAACACAGTTGAAGACACCATTTAGATATGTGCCTCTATCACTGAAAGATCGACAGACAAGTGACTCAACCAATATCGCTTGACGATATCAGATGAACTAACAGTAACAAGCACGCGGTTTCCTTACTTCGGTTTTGATGACATCGGGTAAGTACATACTCCTGGTGTAAAGATTATTGGTGAGAAAGTCAACCCTTTGATCAGACCTTCGTTTCTCCAAGTCTCTGTCAGGTATCTATCGTATAAGGGCAGTGAACATATGGACGTGTTTTGCATGTAATCACCTCCAAATTACTAACATACAAGTTACTCTAATATAGCAAAAGCAGTAGTAGTTGAATTAGCCAGTATTACAAAGCATTTACATTTTAAAATGTTTTCATCAAAACAAAGTACTGAGAGTGAAAAGGCAAATAATGTGGATAATATTTTGAATATACATATAAATGATGCCCATACCCTCAGATTTATGATGACATCTGGCTTTAAATCCCAGGACCATATCATATCCAGTTGTTTCTCAACTGACATATATTTTGTGCCTACTACTGGGAAACTATCCAACGTATAACCTATATGTGAACAATTCATAATGTAAAACAAAAAGTAAACCCAATAAATGCAACATAAATAGTTTGGAAGAGCTTGCAATGACAATCAAATGCAGAGAATATGTTATTTTGGTTTTGTGCTGCATATCTTTTAATAATTTCATTGAAAACGAATATACTTTAACCTGTATTTTTTAAATTCTGAGGAAAGAAAGGTTGGTCTGAGTGTTTTCTTTAATCAGAACAAAAATCATGACCACAAAACCTAGGAAACCATCCCTTTATACGTCATTTCTCAGCAGCAAATTTTGAAGGTTTACAATAACTTTTTCATGATTCAGTTTAACGTACCATAATGTCTGACCTCTGGCGATTTAATCTTTTCATTCAGAAGGTCGAATACCACGCTATCTGTTGTCATGTCACCGCTCGTCAACAACTTCTTCAATTCTTTGCCTTTGTCTGTGCTTTTTTTTATTGCCTCTTCTAATAGTTCTGTGCCTATAAATATATCGTATAATGTAGAGGCATGCAGTCAATGTACCTCAAGAAAATGCTCAATTTGCTAGAAGTATAATTCATTTGTTTAAATCAGTTCAATTTAAACCAAAGCTATGCTTACAATTGATTAGAATACAGTTCCAGTCCTTGCAGAGCCATGTAGCAAGAGTTGTTTTGCCAACACATGGTTTTCCCCAAACCACAAAACATGCTGGCTTCGACTTTAAAAATTCCAACTCAACCTGAAAAATTATATGAGAAATTTACGCAATAGTCAATACTATAAACAATTTATTAATAATTCTCTTGGTTTATCCTCAATATGCACTTAATTACCAAGCTGTGAAAGAATTATTTAACATTTTGAATCTGGCTTACTTCACAACAATCCCACTCCTATCATCTATACTAATATTTCCAATGATTGTTCGTCTGTTTGTCGCCTGGCTATAGGCGACCAAATGGTTGATCCATGGGGTGCTGAAACTAGTGCTTGACCCAGGGAGTGTCATGAGATAGGTGTCATTGACCTCAAAGGTCATTGGAGGTCACATGTCATGAATGTAAGACTTTTCGGCCTAGGACTTTTCGGCCTAGGACTTTTCGGCCACATATTTTCAACAGATAGGACTTTTCGGCCAAATTCAAATTTCTTTTCCAAAATACTTTTTTTTATACCAGTTCACATAAATTAGTGCTATCCATAATATTTCTGTAATTATATTTAGGATTTAAGTGACCAATAATAAAGCATAGAGCCGCAGAAGCGTTGGGCTCATCTTGAGGTCTGTTGCACGATCTATAAACGTAAAATTTCAGGTCGTGCGTAAGTACCGACATATATGTAGGCGCAGATATGGGCAGACACGCAGGGTTGCGTAACATCATTGTTAGACACGCCATATCCGGCATATGGAGCGGTCAGGGGGAGATGTGGGGGGAGGGGTAGGGGGAGGGTGGGGAAGCGGCGGGGAGGGGGTGGGGAGGGGAAGGGGGAGCGGTGCGGGGATAGAGGGGCTCTAATAGCAAAGACAGTTATCACTCCTGTTGTTAACAGGTCAACTAAATCCATTGTTTAAACCCGGTACCCTTGGAGGTCAAAAGGTTATCAGCGACACTTAATCTTTCGCATAGTCAGCAGAAGGGACTATTTCATGGTCCTTTCAATAAAGCCAGTAAAATGCTAGGCCAGACGCGCTGATAACAAAATAAGTTCAATCGTGTTCTCGCGTCAGACCCATGTCCTCAGAAAATGTTAAAAATCTGCCCTGTGCCCACTGACCTTTGACCTGTGACCGTCCCATTTCGGCCACAGTGATGGGCTTTTCTACATGATGCTATAACGCCGCACTATCACGAGCCTTAAGGTCCGAGGCCGTTAGATTTGTGCCGCGAATTCCTGCATTTGCCTCCTATACCTTAAGTTAAGGAGTGAAGTTACGCCCCTTCTTTTAACACCTCTGACGCTTATGCTTGAGACACGACAGCTTCGACATTCCCAACTTACGGCCGTTTCGGATTCCCCCCGCTCCCGAATATCGTGACCGTTAACGTCGAGCGGTTAAGATTTGTGCCCACTTTGACGCCGCGGCGACGCACGACGATCGGACGGAACGATCAAGGCGAATTCTAACAAGCTGCATCTGACTATGTCAGATGAGCTAAAAAATAAAAACATTAAAACAAATAAACACAACAACAAAATTTTGAATTTGGCCGAAAAGTCGATCAGGACTATCTGTTGAAAAATTAAAATTTAATTTGTGGCCAGGAAAAGTCTGTGCCGGAAAAGTCCGTGCCGAAGTCCGTTCCACCAGGTCATTGAAGGCCAAAATGAGTCATGTGTGTGTGGCTAAACGAAGCCAGAGTTTGTTATGACCCTACAAATGGGTGGTGAGATGAGGTTCAGGTTCAACGCCTAGCATCCGCTCTTAGTGTCTATGTCCCCCTAAGGTACTGCGGAAACGTACCCTGGGTAACGGTCCAGTAATACCGAAACGTACCACCTGGGGACGATCTCGGTATAAGCGGAACGTACCCTGGTAAGCTGCTTAATTCTGTTGGTATTGGGTTAGGTTAGGTTAGGGTCTAGGGGATTAGGGAGTTCAGGTGTAGGCGAGCGTGCGCGCTAAAAGACTCGTTAGTGAGTAGCACGAAGTACGGTCGCGGCTATATTGAAGATAAGAACGCAAGTACGTTCCGATATCGGACCAATATGACGCAGGGTAACCAGTTCCGGCAGTCAACCACCTGGGGACACATAGACACTCCATCAGGACCCTAGCTCACAGGTCAACTGGTGGTCATAGGGCACACTTCAATTTCAGGATCATAATGAAAACTAGATATGAACTATTGCATGAAATGTATAGAGAGTCGCAATCGTATCACGACAGCTGATTTTGGGATCATTTGCTTGCATCTCATAATATTGTCTTTATACTTTCAATCTTAATATATGACCTCTATAATATTATCATGATAGGAATATATATCGCTGTGGCTATATCCCGGCAAGCCGGCCACGTCTTAGTTGATTTCCTAATGGCTCGCAGTTCACTAACCGCGCTAAACACCCTAAACCCTTGTTACTGAGATAACCGCTGAAATTAAAAACTGCCGCGCATCTTAAGAAATCGAAGACCGTGCCCGGCAGCCGTCAGATATAATGGCCGGCTGCCGCATAATAGGCACTCTGATAAATATATATGTCAGAATTTCAAGTTGTTCCTAATTTTTATCCCAGGCAATGCCAGGGAACCTAACTATTGCTCATAGTCATAGGGTCTATGTCCTGCGCCAGGGACGCCTACTGCCAGAAGCGTAACTGGTACGGTCCTGTATACCGGAACGTACCCTGGTAACTATTTGATATGGTTAGGGTTAGGGTTAGGGTTAGGGTTAATTTAGGGTTAGGGTTAGGGTTAGGGTACGTTAGGGTATAGGGTATAGCCTAGGGTTAGGGTTAGGGAGTAGGCGTAGGCGACTCCCTAGACTCGATCAGTGGTACGGTCCGGCATATTAGATAGTACCAGGGTATAGAAAATCTAGCTGTGAACCCTAAATAGTAATAGTAGTATTAGTACTAATACTAATACTAATACTAATACTAATACTAATAGTATATAGATTTACGGGGTCTCAAACCGGCAAGAATGGCAAGATTGAGCATATTTAAACGGAACCATTTATTTTACCTGATCTTCGTTATAAGACATTCTTAATTAATCCAGAGATGACTAGCAATGGCAATGATGATGGCATCACCGACACGACAGGCGACACCGTCACGGTGTCACCCAACACGAATAAAACTACCGTATAGCGTTAGCCTAAAAAGCGCTAGCCGTAGCCGTAGCCGTAAAAAACGTTAGCCTAGCCCTACTACGGCAAGTCTTATATTCACAATCACAGTCGTATGCGGCTCATAGTACACGACAAGTTATTCTTAGCGTAAGTCAAATTAGAAACACACACACACAATTTGTGTGACACAAATATCAAACACCACGGCAATAACACTTTACACTACAGTTTACGAGTTTCTATTTGGCCGCCAAGACGTGGAAACCATAGCAACCACCTCGGAAGCGCGCGGGGTTACGAGGCTCTGGATTTCCGCAGAGGGGTGGTTCCACTTCCACGTTCGGCGAACGGGACGCGGATGCATAAAATACATAAGTTTCATCGTCCAAAGAAATTTGTGTAGAAAATAAAGATTTCCGACTGTCATATTTTGCCTACGCATATATATTATGATTTTATAGAAAAACACCAAGTATCGACTGTCTATCGTGATTCGTATTCGCGCCGCGGGCGCCGCGGTTATCTCCCCCTCGCTGTACGGGGTGCGTACCGGCTTCTGTGCAGCCCCTGATAATAATATTAATAATAATACTATTACTAAGCAGTATATCAAAAAATTACGAAGGGCTACTAAGGGCTAATAGAATAAGTATCATAGATATCATATAACACAGATATCAGATAACATATTAGGTGTTATATGAGGTATAAGCTTTTGGTAATCTATCGCCTTCCTTGATTTTAACTCATTTAACGTCAGCTAGGTGGCGCTGCGCGCAGCCACCAGCCAGCAATGATCATCGTGATTCGATAGCAAAAATTTGTTATTCTATTGTGACTTCTGTTGGTAAGTGAAAGTATGCTTGTGTTCTTATTTGAAATAGTATTTAGGTATTATACGTATTGGAACTAGTCCGGTATTATGACTGTTGGTAATAACACTGTCAAGTAGTAATGATGCTAATACTCAACTTGGCGACTTGTTGCCGTTGCCGTTGGCGTTGTTCGGCAAAATTTTGTGACGTCGCGGTGCCTCCACTCCACCGGGCTCTGTTATTGTTATTATGAAATATTTATTGCATATAATAAAAAAAACAAGTGTATTTACTAAGAACAG